ATAAAATGGAAGGCAGATTGTGTGGCCAAAATGTCAGAGACAGGAGGATGCAATAAGCCACAGAATGAAACGATCATCAGGATGCTTTCACCAATAGGAACAGAAGATCATGGGTTTCTGGAAAAAAAATTGGTGGACATCCTCTTAAGGTGCTACTTGACATAAAAAGACAAAAAAAATTCTAGCTTCACTGAGCCTAACTCAAATCACTATGGTGGGATTCACATTTTCTGATTCAGTTCCCAAACCTAGAGCCCTTCAGCCAAGAGGAGACCAGACTCCTATGAGACAAGACTGAATTTGGTCACATGTATAGACCGTGGAAGTCTCCTTAAGCTTTCTCCAGAGGGACCTGAAGCAGTTTACAAGGATGACTGTGTAGGGTGAGGCAGAAAAGGGGAATACCTGGACTTTCTGGAAGTTATTAGATAGTGGTTCCTCACCTGAAAAGCCTTTATAGTTTACCAATTAAAGCTTACAGAAATTGGATGAGAGATGGAATCTGGGTCCACATGCATGTAACAGTGGGTCCAAAGCATCTGTCTGGTGCTCATTTCCCCAGTCCCAGAATGTATAGTGAGACTAGATATACCTAATGACTGACTGGCAGAACCCTGCATCGGTTTCTACACCGGTGAAATGAAAGCTATCATGGTAGGAAGGGCCAAGTGGAAGAAGCTCCTGGGGGTGTCGGTGGAAACTTTTTTCTACCCCCTCTCCAAACCCCCAACAAGATGCTAATTCCTGTAGGGGTAATGGCAGGGCTCACTGGCACCACTGAAGACCTGAGAAACACAGGGAGTTTGTCCTACTGCATCCCCACTTAACTCAACTGTTTAGCTGACACAAAAGCTACATGGATAGTGGAGAATTGCAGTGGGTTACTGCAAACTCAGTAAGATGGTGATGGCAGTTGTAGCTGTTCCAGATGCGGTAAGTTTGGAGGAAATCAGTATAACCCATGGCACCAAGCATGTGGTTATTGATCTGGCAGATGCTTTCTTTCTATTCCAACTGGTAAGAAAAATCAGGGCCAATACAAACTTAAACTTTCTTGCCCCAGGACTCTGTCACCTCCCCTGCAATGTTTTATAGTACAGTCCTAAGGATCCTTGATCACCTTCATCTTCTACAGGATGCCACACCAGTCCACTACACTGAAGACAGAATGCAATGGGTTTTGATTAGCATGGAACAGCAAGCCAGAGGGTGGAAGATAAATGGTGCAAAAGTTCACTGAGCTGCTGACACTTCTAAAGGCCTAGTCGTCTGGGGCATGTCAGGATAGTGAAAGGGAAAGGCAGTTTGCTGCAGCTTGCAGCACTGTACAAGAAGAGACAACCACAGTGCTTCTTACACTTCTTTGTGTTTCAAAGGCAACATACGAGGGGAGGGACCCCCAAAACCCAGACTTTATTTATCAAAAATTGTGTATTTATTCTTACATGTTTACACTTCAGTCACCTTAAAAGTATTCTCCATTTGATGCAATACAGCTATCGAGATGTTTTTTCCACTGCCCAACATAATTTTTGAATTTGCCGACTTTGATTCCTTTGAGTGTTTCTGCCATTTTTTGTTTCACTTCTTCTACAGTGGTGATTGTTTCCCTTTGGGGAATTTTTTTTTATCCAGGAAACAAAAAAAAAGTCACTGGGGCAAGATTGGGTGAATAGGAGGATGGGGCATCGGGGTCATTCTGTTTTTGGTCAAAAACTGCTGAACATTCAGCATGGTGTGGGTAGGTGCACCTGTAAATCACCTATCATGAAAAGTGCAAATTCTTGAGTCTTAAAAAAAATTCACCAAAGTTGAATGCAGGCTCTCACAACAACGCCGGCTAGTACACTGATACAGTTGGGTTCCTAGAATACTCACCTAGCCGAGGAAACATGTATGACAAGGCACCTGCCCTCCAGAAGATAATTTCAGTGTTTTTGGTTCCCCTTTTGTACACTACATACTATATAACTTGAAAGGCTGACAGTTTTGAGAGAACTTAGAGTTCAGAGAGGTTTATACTGTAGTATATGCTTCCCCATCACTTGGGCATTAAGACACAGGGACTGAAATATGTCAGAACTATCTCTGGCTGTATGGGACCCCGGGAAAGCCCTGACAGAATAACACCACAGAACCTTAAGATTTTTTTTGTGTGTGAGAAGCATAATAATTTTTGCTTTGTCACTGAACCTTGATAGACACAATGTGCCTGATTATGGAATGTCAAGTGAGTATCCTATCTGAGTTGCCCATCTTGAAGTAGGTGGTAGATAATCCACTGAACATAAAATTGAATATAAACAGCAGCATTCCACTTTAAGTTAAAATGATGGGCATGGCCTCAATCTAGAAGGCTCAAGCAAATTGCACAAACAAGTAGTTCAGACTTTAAGGTACTCCTTTTTTATAACTTTGATGCCTCCCCCTCATTCTGCACATTTGGCTTCATGGGGAATTCCATATGACTATAATAATTAGATGTCCGAGTTTTTCCTGGGTATTACTGGTTTATACCTGTTATTCAACATCCATTCATCATTCACAATACCTATTTTCATTAGCAAAAGTGTCCCAGTTTGGAGAATCAATTATATGGCTATCCTATCTATGATCAAGTAATGGAGAGAGGAGTGTGTGCTTGGTTCACGGATTTCTGTGTGGTATTCTGGCATCAGCTGGAAGTGAACAGTTAATGTGCCATAGCCCCACTCAGTGGGCAGAATTTAAATGACACGTCTGGTTGTCTATATCATCTAGAAGGAGACCTAGCCTGAGATACAGATTGACTCAGAGTCATTCCTAGATTGGTTGGCTGGTCAGGGACTTTGAAAGAATAAAATTGATGTATTAGTAATAAGGAGGTCCAGCAGGCAGGCTATTTGCATAGACCTCTCGGAATGGGACATGGTATGAACATACTCGTTTCTCATGTAAGTGCCTCGTAGAGGGAAGTGCTGATGGAGAAATTCTCAATAATTAAGATCTCCCTCACCTCTTGGGTGACATTCAACCTCTTTCCCTGGCCACTTTGGTGTTTGCTCTGTGGGTCAGTATTTAAAGTGTATGGTGTCAGGGACAGAGGTTATTCAAGGGTTCAACAACATGGTATCCCTTCTTGTCAAAGTCGATCTAGTAACACTATTAAGTGCCTGGCCTGCCAATTGCAGAGGCCAACTTTGAGCCCTTGATACGATAACATTTGTCAGCAAAACCAGCATATGTGATCCCACAAATGCATGTTCCAAGTTATCAAGAAGGATCAGTAGGACAGTGTGTGGTGTGTGAGTAGAAAAGCACAAATTCATCAGGGAGAGAGAACAATGTCATCCTTCCATTGTTACTGCAGCTATTTTGCTAGGTTGTCTTTATGAAAAAGATCAGTAGGAAAAAGAAGAAACTACTACAATTCAGCAATTTTATTTGTGTACTTTATCTCATTTATGTCTCACAATGACCTTGCGAGGTGGGTTGGGTTGTAGCTCCACCATAAAAATGGAAACACAGGAGCAGAGAGATTAAGTCTCACAGACTCATAGGTGGTTAGATGTGATGTCAAGGTTCGAACCCAGGTCTGTCTGTGTGCCTGTTTGCATAGTGTTTGTTAAGAGAGTGTGTCGATTGCTAAGGTTGGTCTCAGTGGGTTCCCAGCAGAGGTCATCCTCCTGCCCTTGCACCTTTGTCAGAGACACTAGGGGACGCAAACTGAATGTTAAACTCCTGCATGTCACTTTAGGCTCTAGCCACCGAGTGGGGTGAGCAGAGCTCTGCCTGAGAGAGGGAGACAACAGGTGGCGCCTGCGTGCTCCTGCTAAGGCTCCTGAAGTACCCTAATATGAAGCCCTCTCAGGGCTCTTTTTCTACACCCCAGGGTCTTGGTGGGGGGGGTGAAAGGGAGTCTCAGTTCTGTGGAGTCTAGGACCTGGACTGGGCAACCTGGGAGGAAGTGGAGAGAATGGGGCAGGAGGCTACTTCTCAGGGGTGACCAAGCCTGGCCTTGGAACCTCTTAATTTAGTCAAATGGCCTTCACTGTACACACCTAGTTTGGTTACAAGTAATAATGATTTTCTGGGCTCCATTTTCCCTCATCATATTTCACAGGGGAGACCTAATTCCCACAGAGTATTTGGCTTTTTCACAGCACTTTTCACATGTGTGGTGGGTTTGGAAATATCTATTTTGCAGTGCTGTTGTGAGACAATATATACAATGTACTTCAGCTCAGCCCAGAGTGTCTGTTCTTATTGTTTTTGTGGTTGTCTGTCTCCTTATAAGTTGTGAGGGAAGGGACTATGTCCATGTTGCCTAGTATAGTACCTACGACATTGATAGATACTCAATGGACTTTTTGTGAAAGAATGAATGAGTGAATAAAATAAAACGAGTTAAAGAGTAGCAAAGGTGGGGGATGAGTTGGTTTTCCTGACCATTTACATATATGTAAATAATAAACATATAATGCCTGATATTTTCAGTGAGAAAAATTCTTTATTTAAAATAGGCTAGATGTTTTTACTAGATTAAATAAAATACTCTACAGATGAGAATTTAAAATCCAGCATACCAAACCCAATAATACCAGTCAGATTGTCCACCCATCCCCATTTAATAACATTTGAATGAAATAGCTTATAATTCTGAGAATATGTGCCTTGCTAAGAGAAAAATATCCAAAGCAGTGTCACATTTTCTGGATCTAACAATATTACACTAGTAAGAGAAATTCTATGATGACCATGACAGCTAAGAAACTGTGATTTTCAAATGTAGAGATTAATAGTATTTCTATGTCACAGAGTCAACAGATTTTATTTCAATAAGAGAATGAAAGCAAGAAGGGAACCTACACTATTTCTGCCACTTGAATTTATTAATATATGCTGAGCACTTATAATGCCTTTGCTGCAGAAGGGTAATAAGTGTTTTGGGAAGAAGATGGGCTATGGGGACAAAGCCAGGGAGTTTGTGCCTACAGAATGTAGCTGATATCTCAGGGCTCTCAGGGCTCTTGGAAATGCCACACATTTTGCATAATATGGGGCTGCTGGGCCTTGTTTCCTGGCATCGATGTTTGCTCTGTGTCTGGGGTCACTGTGGTATCCATGGTCGTTTCTCCCAAGGGTGTAGTCATATCAACACTGTAGGGCTCATAAACATCAGCTAATCCAGGGGTCATCAGTGGGTCAGCAGCTGCTGGGGTAACCCTGAGGGATCCGTTGTTGTCCTCTGTAGGGTCTCCAGTCAGGCTGGGAATATTGTCCTTCGGGAGAGCGAGAAGCCCTCCAAGGGCACCAGGAACCACTGCCTCTGGAAGCAGAACTGGGTTTTCTGGATTGACTGGATTGGCCTCCGGTGGCACGGGAGAGCTATGCACAACTCCTTCTCCCTTCTCTGGGCCTTTGGTTGCAGCCATTGGGGTGTCAAATTCCAGGGTAAAGTCCCCGCCCATGCCTGGATGGTGAGGCATCCCTCCAAGGCTGGGCCTCATGCCTCCAAATCCTGGGAACATGGCTCCATAGGTCATAGGACCTCCTCTGCCTCCCTGGAAAAAAAACATTTACCAAAGACACCGTTATCACATACAATTCTGTACCATGCAATTATACCAGGTCAGATTCACTGAGAAACTATACAAAACTGGTAAGGATCAGGGAGCTGGCTGACATCTCTGTGTGAGCACATTTCTCACTAAGCTGGCTTTGAAATACAAAGGAGAGAATTCTGCACTTTCCTGGTGGGGGAGCCCACTTCTCTGAAAGGGAGACAGACGGAGGTCCTTTGCCATGCCTGGCTGAAAGGATAGGAAAGAAACAAGTGGGGCAGAACCAAGCCCACAGGCAAAAAGTAACTTGAATTCAATTTGAAGAAAGCAATGAGCAACTAAAGTGGGCAATACTACATCATAAAACAAACAAAAACATATCCATTCCTGAGTCTATTGAGAGATGTTTTGGAGGATTGCATCAATATAATTTCTTAGTGTCCTGTGAATGAATGAAGCCCCATGTAAGACTGTTTCTTTTCCTCTTTAAAAAAATATGTATTGAAAAAAGAAGCTTGATTTCTCTGGAGGAACTGCAATATTTTCTTTCTTTGGGTAGTTAGAATTCTAGAACTGAACATATTTCTTTTTTTTTTCCTCTTTGCTGCCCAACAGTTTGAAACCAAAATCTCAGGCTCTTCACAGGAATTGCTCAGGGCTTTGTATCTTGCATATCTGTATTCTCATTTTCTCACAACTTCGATTCATTTAAACTTACATCTTCAGTTTTTTTTGTTATACTTACCATGTGTTTTTCATAAGCTATAGGAAAGGCTTTCACATATGAGGCAGAATATAAACAAATTAATTAAAATTATAAGATGATAATTAACACTTACTTGAAATTTCAAACCAGTTGTGCTGGTGTTATATAGATACAATACTGTTTTCTCTCACCTCCTGTCTCTCTATTCTTACCTTTTGGCATCACCTCCTACAGAAAGTGGCATTTTAAACCCCTAGGCTGGGCTAAACGGCCCTCTTCTTTCTGTCTTTTATAGCTCTGATAGATTTATCACAAGATTTCGACGTTAGCTGCCCTACCACTGACTGTCCCATGGATTAGACTGTAAACTGGCTGAGAGCTGGACACTTATGTATTTTGCCTCTGTTGTATGTTTCGCTGTGTCTAGCTCACAGGAAGTGCTCAATGTTGAGATGCAAATTTTCTCTCAGTGACAGCATGTGGGTGTCTTCATTAATTTGCTAAGATCTGCAGTTGCTAACGATTTGTTAATTCAGTATGGTTTTGTTTTGCTTTATGCTCTAACAGATGTGACATGAACTTTTTGAGAGAAAAAGTCAAATTGTGTGTCTATGGACTTCACATTTTAAATTTGTAAAATGCAGAGATAATAGCAGAATAGGAATATACTTGAATTAACTTTTAATGTTAATGTACTTTTTATGGTACTTTCAATTATGTAATTGTAGTTTTAATGTACTTTCTAATGCACTTCCAATTGTATAATAATGAAATTTTAAACTTAGCTAATTTTCTTTTTCTTTTTGCTCTCTCAGTTTTGAGTCCAAATGATTTGTGATGCTGCTGAATTTGTTTTGAGGGGTTAAATGGTCTGAGAAGGAACAGGAACTGTGTATGAACCAAGGGTATCTTTTTTGGTTTGCAGTGTTTGCTGTTCAATGATGACTTTTCAAGAGAGATTTTTTCTTGCCTCATAGTTAAGAAATAGGGCAAAACCCTATGCTTAAGGAAGGTCATCTCTCAGAAATGTGTATGTGGGAAATGTGATGAAATCTTTGCATGCCACTTCGGAATCAAGCTTTTGGTTTTGGAGCGGAACAATCTGAGTCCTGTGCTGTGTATTTGGCTACATTCATAGCCAATACCTCTTGCAGCCAGTCATCTGTGACTGTCCCCCCTGGACACTATTTTAAGACAAGGTTGAAGATATTACTCACCATCATTTCTTCTGAGCTCATGATACCAAGTCTGGTAGGAGCACTCTGTTCAAAAAGAAACATTGCATTGTATTAGGAACTAGCCAGCTCCTACTGCAGCTACTCAAGACAAAGTTAAAGGTCATGTAGTTTCTCCTTAAAATTTAAATCTTAGCATTAAGGCTGTGTCCAGAGGCAGAGTAAAGTGGTGAGATAGGTATTATTTAATAAATGTAGCCAATTTGGATAATCCAGACAGCAAATAATGCTGTGTGTGTGTGTGTGTGTGTGTGTGTGTGGCCAGAATTATCCAAATAGGAAGGGTCTCCTTGCCATTTCATTTGCTAACTTAGGCATCCAGAGAATATGGAACCTATTGTGTGAGGATTTGATTTTATAACTTTAGCACTTAAGATAACATTTAATTAAAAATGACACTTTTTATAGAATACAGACTTACCAATTGATTTGCACCATAGGACATGTAAAACATTCCTGGAAAAAGCTAAATATAAATAAAATAATCAACACAAAATGCATTTTCCAAGGGAAAAACTTTTCAGTGAATTACAAAAAACACTTACTGGAGATGGTTTATTTTGTGGAATTGGTCCCTGAGAGATCAGACGGGCTATTGTGAAAATCTTTAAGGGGTAGAAAACAGAATAAGTAATTCACATTTGCTACAATACAGGCAAACCCTCCAGTACCGCCATTTCTAAGAGTTGCAGGAAACACATTTTCAGAAGTATTCATAAGACAAAGAAATATTTAATGTTTAAGAAAACAAAGGAACTCATTATACTTCTAATTCATAATATGTGAGGGGATTTAAAATTTTTACTCTTTTCTTGAAGAATGAGATATTTTTCCCAAGAAAGTTTCATTGAGATCTGTACTTACTGATGGGTCTTGTGGGCCAGCAAAATCCATCCCTGGTAGCTGCATCACAGATAAATAGTTAAAAAATTACTAAACTATGAAAGTAGAAAAAATAAATTAAATATACTCTTATTTACGAATATGATGAAGCAATCTCAAATAAGTTTCCTGAGTTTTACTTTAACTTGTCTTGGGGGCCACAAACTAAGAGATTACCGTCACCTGTTTCTGACATGACGCAAGTGCACGGGCTGGGAGGTGCAGCATGCCTGTGGTGGGTTTGCCTTGTCTTGCACACTAGAAAGAATGAGTTTTGGAATCAGATCATACCAGGTTGGCTTGAATCCTGACGCTGCCACTTAATTTTTGTGTGATACTGGGAAAATTTTATAACCTCTCAAAGTCTGTCTTCTCCTTCTTAAAAAGGATAATAAAGTCTATTTTTATAGGACTACAGTCAGAATGATAAGGGGAATGTTAATGTCTGTAGCATACTAGACATATGGTACCTTCCTTTTGTGTCCTTGATTCTTTTCTCTACATTATTGCAAGATGCTTTTTCATGGTTGCCTTCTCTACTAGCAGGTAGGGAAATAATAGTACAAAATATTCCTTACAATGCTGAGGGTTCAGTCACTTTTCTCTGTCCTTCCAATAGTGAAAAAGACCCAGGTGATAGGAAGCCTGGACTTTTCTGGGCTTTCCTATTTTCTCTGAAAGCTTTCCTTTTTTTTTTTGCACTTAAGAAACCAAATTTTAGACACTGAATCTTTCAGAATTCATTCCTCATTCCTGATGGCAATGTACAGGAATGGATATTTATGTTCTACTCCCAGAGTAGTCAACTGATTAAAAACATATTTGCATTTTCATGCATTATGCCTTAAAGCTCTGAGTATTTAAATGTGCTCTGCAAATTTGTTTTCTTTCCTTATGTTAGTGGGTAGTCCTGATCTGACTTCAGAGGAAGGACTTACCTCAGTCTTTGGCGGCTTATCTGATGGTGCCACCTGTTGTTGAATCATTGGCCCCTCTTCTTGATGCAAGGGTGGCTGTCCCTGGTAAACTGGAGGCTGAGGTCCTCCCTTCTGGGCTGTGTTCTGGATGGCGGTTACAACAGTGGGCTGGAGGAAAGGTTTCTGTCCTGGCAGTTGAGGATGTAGGGATGGCTGCGATGGGAGAGGTGGGGGATGCACAGGCAAAGAATATTCATACTGCAGAGAAATTTGAAAGGAATGTCAGGAAGTGATGGCTCACTGAACTGTGGTGCCTAGAATTTCTAAAGCAAAAGAACTTGGGGAACTTTGTATTTCAAGAGTCTGGTCATGAAGATAGGAAGCTATGTGAACCGCTTTGTAGAACGGGTCGTTTCCTCCTCTGGGTTCTCGTAGTTGCCCCTGTGCATCTCTATTTTACCATTTTCTCCCTGGATTACAATGATTTGTTATCAATCTTTCTCCCTAGTCAACAGGGAGAGATTCATCTTATTTATCTTTATAGCCCAAGACTTAACATACTATAGCTCCTAACAAGTGCCTGGCACATGATAGATACTTAGTATATTTTTTGAGTTAATGAAAGAAGAAATAATAATTAAATAAAATACCAATCAAATTTCTGCACCACAGAGCCCATTTGGGAAACAGTCAAGAGGGGAAACAGTCAAGAGGAAAAACAGTCGCCATTACTACAATTCACTGCCCCACTAAGTGTGGTTGGGTGGGCAGTGCTGCCTGTTGCTGGCGGGGGGCACCTGGGTTTAACAGTTCCTGGTAAAACAACTGTATATTGTTGATCTTCTTTAAAATTAGCTGTGGTAAATGGCTCCCTATTATTTTTAATTTGAGGAGATTGCCAACTCCTCAAAGTGGCATGGACCTTACAACAAGTATTGTCCATCTCTAAACTCCTATGCCTCTTGTTCCTTATTCCTCATTCATTACTTATCCCTCACAGCTTAGCACTTTGTAATATGTTGTTTTGTCTTACTTCTCAGTCAGATCTGAAATTCCATGTGCCATGGGGCCATTCTTAAAAATCTTCATTTTCACTCCCAATCTACAATTTGGTTAATGTGTTAGGCACCTAGTATATAATGGTTAAAGTTAACTAATGTAGTTATTAATTGCTGTAGGGTTGTGATGTTTTAACCCAGACTTTGGCATCGTTTTAAATGTGCCTTTTAATTATTTGGGGAATCTTGATTAAAATGGGAATTGACCAGAATTTAGCTTGTTTCCATTTTGAGGATAGTTTATCTATTGTATTGCTGATATCTTTAACATAGGTCTCATATTTTGGAGTCTATATCTTCCTGTTCTAAATAAATGTTCAAATGGATTGAAAATTTGAACCACTGTATTCGTAATATTCTGAAATACTGCAGACAATTACAGGTTTTTAAAATTAAATTTACTGCGGTGACATTGGGCAATAAAATTATACAGCTTTCATGTATACAATCCTATAATACATCATCTGTATATCATATTGCGTGTTCACCACCCCCACTGAAGTCTCCATTTATCCCCCCGACACCTTTGCCTACAGCCTCTCCTCCCTTTTCCTCTGGCCATCACCACAGTATTGTCTGTGTCCATGAGTCTTTCTTTCTTTTTTTATCTTTGCTTAATCCCTTCACCCTTCTCACCCAGCACAAGTTTTGGTGTACTCGGTACCTGGATAATTTTTTATTCATTACTCTTACCTGTCTGTGGGCAATATATGACAACTTAGAGAATTAAGTAGGGGAAGATTTTAAAGCGTGATGTTTTAAACACATTGATGCAAATAACTTACCTGTTGAGTTTCATGTTCCCTTGGTCTTATCCATGGGAAGGGGGGATGTGCTGGGAGGAGACCATGCATCCACAAAGAATTGAGTGATTTCCCAAGGCCAAATTTTGAATACTAAAGACATGGCGGGGGGGGGGAGAAGGAGAGAGAAGCATACTTCTATTTCAATATTGACTTATATTTGGTTTTTATTTTCTAGAAAATCCAGAGAAAGTGTAGAGAAAGAAAAAATAAGAGTGATATTGGTTAATTTAATATGGTTAAGTAAACACTCTCTTCAAACAGACTTACATTCCCTTCTGAGCCAACTTGTAATATCTTCATAAATTTGTTCGAGATTTAGCTTTTGAAGCACTCATATTTTGGGCTATACAATAAAATTTATAATTCAAAGAAAGATTTTTTTACTAAAGAAAATTCAATATTGTTTTTATTTTCCCTTGCCAGCCCAACCCAGAATCTTATTCTGGTTCAGGTTATCTCAGTTACTCATTCTCATTTTTTCCCCATTGTTTAGGATATCACCTGTTTGCAAACATATTTTATAAGTGCCAGTGCTGCTGCTAATGTTACTCCCATCACTACCATTCCTACTTGCAATGAGAAATATTGGAAAATAAGGTTACCTGAGAAAGCATGTTTAATCCCTGCAGGGTACTCAGTTGTCTCATTGTCTGTAAAGAAAAAAAAGAGTGGGTCCGTGTTTACCATAGGTGTTCTTTTTCTGTACGACACAACTCATTTCTCAATCTATATTAGTAGCACAAAGTTTGGAGTGGGTCAACTTGAATACAACAGAAGTAGACATTAATTAGGCATGAAAAGTGGAACTGTTGAATGTGGTTCTGCTACTGTTGCTATTATTGCCATTAAAGCAGTGAGTTGCTTTTCATTATTAATTAAGAGACAAAGCATCATTTAACTGAGATCACATTGAAATATGGGAAAATAGTTCATTCAACTGAAATATAAATGCAATCATGAGAACATTGCTTTATTGACTCTTACTCCCCCTTTACCTTACTTTGTCTTTTAAAATTCAACCTAAAGAGGAATTTGAAAAACAAACAAACAGACAAACAAAACAAAATGAGACTCTCTGTCTCCTCCCCAGATAAACAAGTCCTCAAAATAAACAATATAAAAGACATTGGGGAAAATGGTATGTGGATAGATTGTCAAGAATACTGGCAATTCAACAGAAAGTCAATTTCAATGTAATGGGAATAGGTTTAGAGTGCTTTGATTGAGTTTAAATTGGAAACTCAGTGAAATTAGCTTGCAGGTGAAATAAGCATCTAGCCAGTACAGGTACTGATTGCCCTCAGATTGTTATAATCTGAACAAAATTTATAAAGTCTTGTGAAAAATTTATAATTTCATAAATATTTTTCTAATTGTAATTGCCAATATATTCTATTAATATGGTCAAGCAGTTCCATTTTGCTGGGATATTCTAAACAGAGTATATGTTAGTTATGAGACATGTAATGAGACCACCACAGGTTATGTAGCAGGTACAATGTTAGCGTTGTTTACAGGAGTTCTTATAGATAACTAAGTTTGTAAGGTGAATTTTCTTCATGGGAACTTTATAATATAATATGGTATAAAGAGAGGGAACTAAGTATAAACCATTTGTGACTCCAAAACAATGTGTTTGAATTAATAGAGTAATTATATTAATTCACTAATTACATTAATGTATTTATATCAGGTATTAAATAATAGTATTGCTTTGATTCACACACAGATGATGTTCTAAGGACTAAAACACTTGGGAATTTAAAATTAAAGAAAAATGATAAAACAGGGCTCTCATAAATGTCATGAGCTTCTCTAGAACTGCACAGGAGGACAGCCACTGACTTCTGACTAGGAAAACGGAGAAAGAGCCCACTGCATTTCTCCCCTATCAGGAACACACAGACGGAAAAATTAAATGGAAATGCTCTGACAGTACATACCTCCAAGCTCAAGCTAGCCATGCCTGGTGTCCCAGGTTGCTGAGGAAACACCTAAATGGAAAGAAAAACAATTTTGTGTTTTCTTTGATGAGAAACTTCCTTACCCACTGGTAGAAAGTATAGCTGAGAGACCATCATTTGGTTTATTACCCAAAGAACTTGAAATTTTGGGCAGAGAGAGGAATAATTTAAGTTATTTGGGGGAGTTACAATACTATTTAACAATTTTGCTCCTGCAGAAATCATCTTCCATTTGCCTGAGTTTTAATGCTATGTTGCTTTAAAAGCAAAATTTTGTTTTAGTTTAGAAAGTTACATAAGAAGCAAAATAAAGCAACAAAATAGAAAGTAAGAGTGCTTTATATTTTTAAATGTTGTCATATAGAAAAGCAAAGGGACCAACTTGTGGTCAATTTTCTTGTGTGTTTGACAAACCTACACACTGCTGATTTGTGGAATGGGGCACGTGATCGTGGCATTCAGCAAAACCCTGTGCAAAACCTAACTTGCCTGCTATTCAAAGGGCTCTAACAAATCCTCCATCATCTATAGTGAAATATTACTGTATGTATAGCCAGTTGATCTGGGCTTATATTTTGGGGATCATATCAAAGGTATTTTTTCTTAAATAAAAATCATTGTAGCTATAAGTTCTACTAATGTGTTTTTTAAATACTGTTAAAAACATAGCTATATTTGAACTAGATTTTTAAAATGTAAAGTATTTTCCATTTTAAATCAATCCTTGTCAATATGAACAGATACCAGTGGGAAAAAATGAAGAATGGAAGAGTAGGAAATAGAGTAAGTTGGAGTTTGAGGGTCTCTGGTTATTTGGATATTCTTAGTTTCTAGGGTCAAGGGGTTTTAATGCCTTCTTTCCTTCATCACACCACAAATATTTATGTAATCTTCACTAAATGTATTTAAATTATTTTTTTGATGAATAAGAAGATCAGGAATATTTTCTTGAACATGTATTATTTATTCTTTACCTCCTACTTTTTTATAGGTAAAATCCCATCCTCTGAGTCATGGTGCAAATTGCTCCCAATCATTCAGTTTTGGAAATGGGGAGAGGGAAAGGAGTTATAAACATGAGTTAATATTCCAAGTAGAGAAAAAGGTTAGCTGTGTAGACAGGAAAAGTGATGTGGGTGTGTGTTCAGCAGAGGGCAGATTGTTCAGAATTTGTGGGGATGTGAGAGTAGACTCTTTTTCCTCTTGTTGGCCAGTATGTAAATAAAATACCTTGGACAGCAGATTCAACTATAGTACAAAGTATGCTTTGCCTTCCAACTGCTCCATGTCATGGGTTAAAGAACAGTATTTATGTTAATGTAAATAGGCAGGGGATACACTTCCCATGTGGAAGCAGAAGGAGAAGAACATCTGATTTGGCAGGCAGTCAGCTGACAATCTTAAGCAATTGCCTTGTTCCCTAGAGTGGATCTGTTACTGGTGTGGAGTAGCATAGGTCCCCATAGTGTCAAGGTGTTATGATGATGAAGGCTGACCTCAATGTCAGTTTCAGGTGAAGGTAAGCTAGAATGGCAGTTTCAATTTTCTCTTTCATTTAAAGTACATGTTGAACAATAGAATGGAAACATTTTATTTGTTGAATTGAGGTATTCATCCTTATAATCAGTTTTCATCCTCTTTTTCCAAAATGGTTGACTTTAAGAAACCCAAATAACTAACCTTCTTTCTCAAGGAACTGAAATATTTTAAAGTGCATTTGAGGCTGACTGTGAGCTCCCAGACAAGACACCAGGCCACATTTGCCTTTGTCGTCTCAATGTCTAGCACATTGCTGGATATGTGGCATGTGCTTGGTCAACATTTGCCAAAAGTGGATAGCAGCTGAATAAAGTCCTTATGAAAACAGAACCACATGCCTGTTGCAGCAGTTTAGTGCCCAGAAGAATTGTATTCTTACAATATTATCTCAATGTTTGATAGAGTGGGCCAGGTATGTGACTATAGCATATAATTAGCTCCATTGCCATGGCATGTTTTGACTTAAGAAACTTCAGCTTTCTATCTCATGGTATCTTCCTTATAAAGCAAATTTGTTGGTTAATTACTAGCTTCAAATGGAATTTGGCTAATATTGTTCTTTTAAAAATGAAGAAAATGTACTTCACTTTCTTGGAGAATTTTTCTCTCCATTTTAATTTCATAACAGTAGCAAGTAGTTAAGAAAATGGTGCCATAGCATTGTGCATAATTCTGTCTCTTTTTGAAAATTTATTTTTTATTGAATTTACTGAAATGACACTGGTTAATAAAATTACATAGGTTCTAAGTATACAATTCTATAATACATCATCTGCTTATTTTATCATGTATTTACCACTCTAAGTCATGTCTTCTTCACCATTTATGTCCCCATACCCTCTTCTACTATCCCCATCCCCCTTCCCTGCGGCAATCACCATACTGTTGTCTGTGCCCACAAATCCCTCCCCCTCCCTTTTTAAAATTCCTTCACCATCTTTGAATGAATGGAAGAAGACTTAGAAATTGTCTTTGGAATATTTTAAATCTCTTTCTGAATAAAAAAATTTGTTTGACTTATTGCTTTTGGAGGGTACAGCTGATGTCTGGGAAGCTGACTTTTGGCTCAGTAGGAGTTATGCCACTGGATTAATTCAAAAGTGTCCCTGTGTGGACACTCAGCCCATGTCCTTCAGCACTGTTTGAGTACAACAGTGCCTCTTGTAGGGACACACTAAGGAAGACTCTGACTTACCGGCACTGCAGAACTCATCTCCAGGAGGTACAAGATCAGTACCAGGTTCTTCATCTTGAACAGTGGGATCTGAAACAGAGTTAATTTGGAGAATTAAATCAGATGAATTTTTATTTCAGAAGGCTTAAAAGACAACACTTCAAATGAACTGAGTCTCTGATCTTCTGGAACAACCAGGTTCAAAACAAAAACAAAAGCAAAAACAAAAAACTAAATGCTGCTGAACAACTGATTTGTATTTGTCAGTTTTTGGAAATAATTGACAAGCAATTAAAAAATTTGCAAGTACTTTTTTGCAAAGCTACAACCTAAATGGATATGTAGGAACAACCTTTATGCATATTCTTTAATTGCCCTGTTTCATTTCATAAAATAAAACAAGAATTGGAAAATCCCTCTACTATATGAAAGTTTGGTTTATCCAGTATCATTCACAGGAGATTGTATTTTGTTTCCTTCCACAGTAAGTTTTGAAATGCACTAGAAATGTAATACAGACAATAATAATTTTATAACAAACCTTTATTTGCAGATTTATAGGGCATATCATTCTGTGTTTAGGTTACCTCCATAATCCAAAATTATGTTTTAAAAATAAAAAGTAATACTTAAATTTCCTATAATGTTAGTGGAAAATATTTCTCAAAATTGAGTTTTTCTTTTTCTAAAATGTTGTTTCTTTAAAAATTATTTTATAAGTTCAAAAGGCTCTTTACCCTTACATGAACAAAAGTCTGTGTAGCCAAGAGATTTGGTTATCTTCTAATAATTTTATAAATTAAACACTGTCACTAATCAACACAAATAGTAAAAAAAAGTTCATCAATTACTCTTTCTTTTCCCCTTTAACTGGAAGGGTATCAGACATGTCTTCTCTGCAACTTGCTAATGGTTTACAATAAGCTATTACTCAGCTTCTGGTGAAGAGAGAGCCTCTTTACAAAAGCTACTTGGAGATAGGAAGAAAGAACTTACAGGAAGCACATTGAAATCATAAAATCACATTTTACCTTCAATGCTGGCCTGCACTGTGCTCTCAGGACCTGGTGATGCCAACCAAGATAGGTCTAAGAAAAGAAGATTAATTTTTTTTTCTGGACTGTGTGTACCTGGGACTTGCTCTGTATCTCTCATTCAGGGTACACCTGAAATCTTTATTTAAAGTGCCAACCCACCAATCAAAGTGAAGCAAAATGGGGGAAAAAACCACCCAAGCCCTGGTCCTGCAATTAGCCCACACCTTTTTACTGCATGCAAGGACATTGACCCAGTACAGTCTCATTATTTTTAATTGCAACTCAAGCCCTGTATTTATTCCGAGAACTTGATTGCAGGGAAGGTAGTGAAGGAATAATGGACATGAACTTTGAAGACAATCATTTTGGTGAGCTGGGGGGAAATACATGTGAAATAGGTGCAAAATAAACCATTATCTGTTTTGTGCAGGTTTTTATCTGCATATAAAGCCAGTAACCTAGTGCCAACCTTCTCAAGGTTTCCACATTCACGTTTGTTGTGGTGTAACTCCCCCCTTCCCTCAACAAACACAGTCTAGAAGGAAACAATAAAATAACTTTTGGGGCTTGAACAGGAGGATGAAAATATTAGCTGAATCATGTTATGATTTCCCACCCTCCCAGAATTTCCTAGATATTATACTAGAGATAGCCAAATTTTAGTAAGAAATTTCAGTTGGACCCTCTGAAAGAATCACTTCAGGTAAACCTTTAGTACATGTTTTTTGCAGGGGGAGAAGGGCATAAGTCAGACATTCTCCAGGAACCAGTCAAGTCAACGGGCACACTCTCAGTTCACTCTTTAGATAGACCCATTTCCATTTGTGTTGCTTAAAAGGCTAATGTTAACACGGATGGGTTTTTTTTCCATGAACAGATAAAAGTGTCTTGGATGGGCTTGAACTTTAGCTGCTTTTGTTATTTCTGTGAACTTCCTTGTCTTTCCAAAGGTGTGATTTTAGAAGTGGAAGAGGTAAGTATTTAAGATTAGTTCCCTAAAAAGGGATGAGTCAGTACACTCCTTAGGGAAATAGGGATCTTACCAATTACAGGGAACTTGCAGGAAGCTGGTATTATGGAAGACGTATGTTTTCATATCTAAGTGTTGGCCTAAAAGCTTCAACTAATGTTATCCAAGAAGCTGTTCCTGAAAAAAAACTCTGTTTCTCATTGATAAAATAATTATTTTTAGGATGCAAATAAATAAAGAATGGGAATATGTTTTGTAAACAGCAAAATGTTGTTGAAATAAAAAGTATACAATTTTTGGCTTCTCTCTTTCTTTCTCCCTCTCTATCTTCATTCCATCTCTGGTGTTTGGTCAAGGCTCTTAATTTCTCTAAGCCCCAGTTTCTTCTGTAATAGAAGGCCAATCATTTAGGACACACTTAGGATTGTCTTGAGGATTTGGTGAGCTGACAGAGATGCAGCAGCTGCCTTACAGTGGGGGCTCAATGAATGGGATGATTGTCTTTTTTTGTGGGAGAAACTACATGAAACGTGGGGCCACAGAGATACTGTGTGTGTGTTTGTGTGCTGCAGGAGGAAGAGTACTGGCAGTTAGGTCAATAAATTCCAAGGAGGGTAGGGCAGAGACCCACTGGAAGACATTTCCTGTGTGTGGAAGTTGATGCTAAAACCATGGCTTTACGCTTCCTCATGACTGCTAAAGAGAGAAATGGAGTTATTGATGCATATCTTTTATGGCTTATGAGCATGCTCATGACATCCTAATGATGAGGTTTTGGTAGATTCAGATGTTTTGTCTTGCTCTTAGGCCAAGTATACAATATCCATAAATAAGGTTGCTTTCACCTTTTTAAATGTCTATTACACTCAGTCCTGGATCATCACCTGTCAGATGTTTACCTGTAGTTTCTTTCTCCTACAATTTCCTGCACACTCATACCAAATTCATCATCTTAAAATATTGGTTTCAGCATTTAACTGCCCTACTCCAAAACTTTTTAAGGATCCCTAAGGCTCTAATGTAAAACGCATCCCCTGTAACTAGACTGTCAAATTAAAATTTCAATTCACCTTCCCAATCTTGTCTCTCATTTAATGTAAGACATGGTGAGTTGATATAGTAATAATGAGTGTTGTAATCAACTGAAGTTGGTTTCATTTTGCATCTAGTCAACAAATTTTTTTATTTAGGTTTTATGCTACTAGGAAGTTAGTACATAAAATCCTATTACATCCTATGAAAAATGTTTTTATTACAGAAAATTTGGAAATTAGTATGAGTATATGAATGAATTTTTTAAAATTTTATTTATTTATTTTTAGGGAGAGGGGAAGGGAAGGAGAAATAGAAAGAGAGAAACATCAGTGTGTGGTTGCCTCTCAAGCTCTCCCCACTGGGGAACCTGGCCTGCAACCCAGGCATGTGCCCTAGACTGGGAATCTAACCCACAACCCTCTGGTTCACAGATCAGCACTCAATCCACTGAGCCACACCAGCCAGGGCATGAATGCATTTCTAATAGTGATTATAGGTATTAAGGAAGTTACTGTAACTGAAGAAAACTATATTACATTGATCTGTACCTATATAAAGAACAACCAGAGCACCAATCCAAAAAAAAAAAAAAGCTATGTCCAAAGTACAGCAAAAAAGAAAAAACTCAGAATGACAGCATATCTGAGACACATGAGGGGACGCGTGCCACTGAAAAAGTTTTAAAGAAGATCCTGTGAAAGATTTCATATAGTAGCTGAGAGCACAGCTGTTTCAGTCCCCTCTGTGCCATTGATCATGGGACACTGGGTGAATTATTCAGCTACAATATGTATAGTATTTTCATATGGTATTTTCACCTGTGGTATGTGGTCTGCCATAGGAAAGCACTAATTTAATTTAAATATAATAAATATAAAGTGCTCAGTACACTATCTGGTAAGAAGAAAATGTTCAATGATCAAGAGTTATTTTTATTATTCTTGTTGAAATAAAGAAATATGTATGCTAAAAACCTGCTTCATATTGGATTGTGGGCCTTGACCATAGTTATTCCAGCCACCAATGGCAACTATGACAGCTAACTAAAATGTATACAAGTAATTTTAATTTTTTATGGGTATGTCAATTCTACATGACAAAGTGTGGGTTTTGAGTTCTGTTTTGTTTTGACACGTCCTTTTTTTAAAAAAAGATTTTATGTATTTATTTTTAGACATAGGAGAAGGGAGGGAGAGAGGGAGAAAAACATCATTATGTGGTGGCCTCTTGTGCACCCCTTGCTGGGGACCTGGCCCACAACCCAATCATGTGCTGTGGCTGGGAATTGAACTAGCACACCTTTGGTTTGCAGGCCTGCAGTCAATCCACTAAGCCACACCAGCCAGGGCTCAATATATCCTTTTCAACCTTCTGCTCCAGCCAGACTTGTTTACTTAAGCTCCCCAGGATGTGTCATGGTTTTCCTCTTCCTGGGGTTTTGGTTGAAACTTTCTCTCTGCCTAGACTTTTTACTTACCTCTTCACAACTTCCGTTTGTGTTCTACTCAAATTTCACCTCTCTGTGACTCCTTCCTCCACCATTCCATTCCTCTGTGATTTAACCTTCTCCAGTTTTCAAATATTTGTCAGTCATTTGAAAATCATTCCTGCTCTATACTGTGATAACCAGCTTGTTACATACCTTTAACATTTTATTTTGCATGTGACCTTCTCGTTTTTTGGATATGGTTTTCATGTCCTTTCAACCATGGAAAACATTTCTGTGGGGTGGAAATCACCCATTTTACTAAGTTGCATCTTTTAACGTTCTATGCTCAATATAATAGATAATATTGGGATAGTATTTATTGTGGGAAGACAGTGTTTCAGTATTTTACATACATGCATTTTTAAAATTCTCACAAAAATTTTATGAAGAAAATACTATTTCCCTTTTTACACATGCTAAAACTGAACTGTGGAGAGGTGAAGTGAATTGCCTGAAGTATCAGTAAGTAGTGGAACCAAAATTTAGACACAGACATCTGACTCCAGAGGCCTTGCTGTTATGCACTATGCCAATAAATCAGTCAATGACAGAAGACATAGAATTAACCATT